TATGTGTTTAGGTACTTCGCAACATTATATTGTTGATCAACATAGTTGGTTATACCTAAACCAATTTTTTGAAAGCACTTGATGGCATGAGAGCAAGGCATGTGGTAGATGGATCATTTACCACAAGAGCATAACCTTGTAGATTCATTTACAGTATGTACATTATTCCTCCGATTTCGATGGATAGTGGTGCGAACTTCAAAAACGTTTCTTTCGTTATCATATTGCAAAAATGAATGCCAATGTGGTCGCCATCTGTATTTCTCAAATCTCTTCATCGACACTAGCATAAAATCAACACCCTTTTCCATCAATGACGTTGCAGCTGCAGACCTCTCAACAAACCTCTTCGCCATCTGCTTGAATGACATCCGCACCATGGCCGTGACAGGCAATCCTCTTGCCGACTTTAATAACCTGTTGAAAGACTCTGACACATTTGTAGTCAGAGTTCCCCAACGTCTGCCACCATCCGCCTGCAAAGTCCACTTTTTAGGGTCATGTCGCATTAACCAATGATAGGCTGCTTCGTCTTCTTGCCTAATAGATTTCATGTGCCTCCGGAATTTATGTTGTTAGTGGTCTGTTGCTTCCATCCACATTAAATCATGCAGATCCTTGTTGGGATATGCCTTCTGGAAATTGGCTTTAAAGTGCCTCACACAGTAACGGTGGTAGGCATAAGGTTTTTGCCATGTAGGCAAGTTTTCCAAAGAACTTAAGATACCACCGTGTCGATCAGATATTAGACAAATACCGGAATGTTGTTTGACAACGTGCTCTTTCAAGTGGTTCAAAAACAACGTCCACGTCTCTTGTCTTTCAATGGCACAAATAGCAAAAGCTAGAGGAAATATCTGTCCATTAGCATCTACTGCCACGGCTATCAATAGCTTGATATCGTACTTTCCATAGACATGAGTGCCGTCTATGGATATTACAGGCCGACAATGCAAAAAACAATCAATTGCTGGTTTAAACACCCAGAACACGTAATTGGATATATATTCTAGTTTACCCAGACTCCACTCAAGTTTCTATTCAACAACCGTCCCGAGGTTAAAGTGCTGCAGTGCGGCCATGTACATGGGCAGAGCTGCAAATGACTTATCCCAGTTACCATAGACTATTTCAAACACTCGTTTGTGCTCGAGATATGCCTTTATTTTGGTAATGGTATGGCCATGTTCCTGGTGGACTGATGTAATGCACTCTTTGATTTTATATCTTATGGACGCTTCGACGTGTGGAATAAGGACAAGAGAAATCAAGTCAATATCCAAGTTGAAATGATTCCCGTTGAATGTGTCCATTTCGCATGTGTGGGTGGAAATGTATTTACCCACTTTCCACAGACCTGTCTTATTCTTGGGGCATGCAACATCCAATGATATGGCCAAAACCACCTGCGACAAACAACCTTGTATACAACCGGACTTGACTCCCATACCGTCATCTCAAGGCACTCTTTTGCGTTGTGCATTTTACAAGCCCTGCTTACGCGCGCTTTATCAGGAAAAAGCATGCCCTTTGCCAGCACTGTTGGTCTAGAATTATCCCACATTGCTGTCCGAATTTCATCAAAATCCCTTATGAGAGCTTCCACATTCAGCATGCTTGGCAAGTTATCAAGGTAAAGAATCTTCCTTGAATGAAACGACACTTGGGACTCGTACACACTTCGTTTAGGGGGAGGGGGTGGAGCATACTCTCTGGTCGAATCAGGTCCTTCTTTCTCATTCTCATCATCACCATCCTCACGAGAAAAGGGTGTCTCGTCTCCAGATTCATCAGCATTGTTGTTGTAATCACTGTTCTCTTCCTCACTCTGTGCATCTGCCAGATCCCGATTTAATACGTCGTCTTCGGGCAATTGAGTGAGTACATGTGGTTCAACTTGCTCATTTTTACTGCACAATCAACAAAATAATAAGCTACTGAAATTAAGAAATATTTTCCATATAGCTGTATCACTTAACTTATAAGTCGTAATGTGATGAAATTCCATGATGGACATTTTCATTTAGGTGATGACTACCGGATGGACCACCATGATCCAACACACCAAAACTATGCTTAGGTTCATAATTTGTAAAATTCATATCCGATCGGTAACCCCTGTTAAATGTATGAGCGTTAATACAAATTCAATACAACAAAAATGTAGAATCGTAACACAAAGGAAAATTAAAGTTTACCGCTCGTCTTGTGAATTAGGAAAAGCAGGCGGTGATAAGTTTAAATAAAGGAAAAGTCTTTCATTCGGAACCTGTCCGGCAAAAACTACTCCAAAATAACCACCCGATGACTGGGGGTTATCCGGAACCTGTCCGGCAACCTCATTGTTGGGAACGTCTTCAACCTTGACGTACATATCTAACATTTTGATTACAAAAAATTCCCGATATTCATCCGGAGTCCTCTGAAAATCCCTCAAAGTTTCATCATCATAGATGTTTAACTCCGAGTAAAAAGCAGCCCCTTGCGGAGTGTTGGAATACGGATATCTTCCGGTTACTTTAAGTATCACTCGATGTTTCCTCACAATCATTGTTATTNCCCCTAATATAATGAAACTCTTATTCAACGCTCTTCAGACATTACGAAAAAATGCTTGAGAATTTAACAAGAAGAAAAGATTGAATGTGAGTTAGAATTTTTTGTGAATGGATTTTCCTAAAATCCTAACTCATTTATATAGGAAATGTGCGAGCCCGGGGGTCGATACATTCACTTATTGGTGGGCTCATAATAAGCGGTATAATGCGCTGTATTTGTACGCTATATACAGCGTAAAAAAACAACACGATATACCTGTGTCAGTAAATGTCAGTATATATAACGCGAAAACACACCACGCTATATCTTAACGGCAAAAGTTACCGTGAAGGTATAACATGGTGTGTTTTGGCGCTATATATATAAATGTAACTTTTTTTTACACTTATTTACGTATTTTTTGTCAAAAAAGATAACAAAAAGGTTCCGGACTCTATACTTACTTGTACTTGGGGAACCAACAATAAATTGTACAGTAGTTCTTGGAAATTACAAAAGAGGTAGAAGAATTAAGGAAGCAGAAAGAGCAGGTTGGACTAGCCTTGAAACACTGCCTCAGGAAAGCTAACCATGTTGCAGGATGGCATCTTAATTTGAGCTACAATTACTCCCAGGTTCAAATTTTCCAAAGTTTTGATTCTCTCAAGGCATATCAAATGAATCATGACTGTAGATAGATGGAGCCTACCAAGTTTTCATATAGCTAACCAGAGACGAAAGCCTCTTGGTGCAAACGGTGTCATGACCGCAAAATTTGCTGAACATATATATGTATCTGACTAATATATATGCAACAATAAAATAAAACAAATAAGTTGAAGTGACGCCACGTGACGCGAGAAGCTCATAGCTCACTTGGTCAAGAGTCTCGAGTTTGTTAGTGTGAGCGTTACTGTGTTAAAACAAAAATCAGAAAACTGTTAGAAGAATAAAGAAATGTATAAAATAGTAAAGAATCAGANGTTCTGGCGTATTTTCAGCAGTGATTTGGCATTTAATTAATTATTAAATAATTAAATAAATTTTGTCCAAAAATAATCTTATCGATCATTTGACAAAGCCGAAGCCGAAGCCGAGCCGAGCGACGACGACGGCTCGTTAGGAGAAGTGAATTTTGTCCAAAAATAAATTGGTTCATTCTCTTCAACTCCTTTTAAGAGTTTTAAGAAGTGAATTTATCTATAAGCACACAAATGTGATTGACCCTCACCAATGAGGGACAAAGTGCAAGACAAAAGTTCACTTCTTTAAANAGAGAGAGAGACTGCGAATTAGGATGCAGTATATTCAGAAAGAAAGAAGTTCTAGAGTGTTTTTCGTATCTAGAAGATGCAGCCTTGCCTCAGAATTTATAGGCAAATATCAGAAGATCTGGAAAGGTGCCTTTTCAGAAAATACGCGGTCTGCCGCGGTTCTACCGCGATCGCGGCCGAACCGCGGCCAGAGAGCCTCTCTGAATCTGACTGCCGCGATTCTACCGTGGTCGCGGCAGAACCGCGGCCAGCGAGGCCCTCTGAACTTTCAGCGGTGTTCTGGCGTATTTTCAGCAGTGATTTGGCATTTAATTAATTATTAAATAATTAAATAAATTTTGTCCAAAAATAATCTTATCGATCATTTGACAAAGCCGAAGCCGAAGCCGAGCCGAGCGACGACGACGGCTCGTTAGGAGAAGTGAATTTTGTCCAAAAATAAATTGGTTCATTCTCTTCAACTCCTTTTAAGAGTTTTAAGAAGTGAATTTATCTATAAGCACACAAATGTGATTGACCCTCACCAATGAGGGACAAAGTGCAAGACAAAAGTTCACTTCTTTAAATTTTTATTTTCCCTCCATTTTATTTTCCTCCATTTCCAATTCACACTTCTTCTACTTTAAAGCCCAATGGCTTAAAGTCCAACAGTTAGGAGATCAGGAGTTCGAATAGATTAAGTTCAGGACTCGAATGAATGATGTGCTTTTTTAGTGGTTACTTGGTATCTTATATAGAAAAGAAGTATTTGTATTAATTCTGATGAATCTATTATAATGCATTTTTAAAAGAAAATGAAAACTTGTCAGAATAGTGTTGTTGTAATGTACTTGAATTGTGTTCTTGTAATACATTTTAGATTGTATGCATTTTTTGTTTTGCATTAACCCTCTTACCTAACAAGAAAAGAATAGACATCGCGTATGATCCACCTTGAAGTAGGTGGTACTATTCATGTAGCTAGTTTCAAGATAGGAATTTTTCCATTGATAGATAGCTCATATCTCAACGTTTTTGGATTAGTATTCCAATGCTGATGGCATTCACCTCATCTTTTGGGTCAAAGATAGTCTTATATCTTTCTGAAGCATATTAGGGAGTTAGGTAGTTTTTTGTCTCCTTCCTCAGCTTATTGTACTGTTAATTTGGAAAATGAATAAAATGTCTGCAAATCAAGGAAACAAAAGATTTAAAAGAAGCTGCCATATTCTCCATCATATATATAGATATGGGATAACAGCAACATTATTATTCAAGCGGACAATAAACTTCAAAAACAACATTGACTTGGACAAAGATGTCCTACTACAACACAACGAACTAAATGACACGACAGTTTACATAATCTCCAATCCTCCCAACTCTTGACCCTGTTTCGACCCAAAATTGAAGTTGGCACATGTAGTTTGCCTGAATAAGAGTGAATTGCTGAAACCAACCCTCTTATTATCAATGTCAATTTGCACCAAGTTCTCCTCAATTTGATGTCCTCCTATTACAATCGAGGTGGTCTGATCTTCTCCACCATTCACAAATCCTAAACAAAGCACTTCATCTGTCACAGCCACCATTGAGTTGGCTCCATAGATAAGGAACGAAGGTGTCTCAGTACTTTTTTTACCTTGTAAAACAAATTCAATAGTTGGAACTCCAGGTCCAACTCTTGTACTAGGTAAGCTAGTCCTTTTGTAACACATCTCAAATGGTGCTACTTTTTTAACTCTAGGAATAGTTAGTGCATGTGTAAATGCCTTAACTAATGCCTTGTAAATTGAAGTCTCTAACACAGTGTAAGGATCAACTGTACTAATTTTTGTTCCCCCTTTTCCAGTTTCCTTGTTTATTTGCAATAATAAGTTATTTATAAGGACCAACTCACCATTAACTTTAATAGATTTAACTCCAATAAAATAGTCCGTTGATGTCTCCCCTCCAAAATATGATCCAGCAGTACTAATAGGGTTTGTAAGAAGAGGTGTGTACAGAAGGTTTTTGGATACATCAATGCCAGGAAGGAAATTATATGGTTCTGGATAACCGAAAAATATAACTCCAGGAGAAGTTGTTGAGGAGCTCAAACAAAGACCAATTTTTCGGGGTCTAGAGAAACGATAAATTAGTTGATAAGGAATTGATACATAGCCATTTCCAAGTCCAGCTATTCCCTTAACTCCCTTTGCTAAACTTTTAAGTATTGAAGCATCCGCACAACCAAAAACAACCTTACCGGGCTTGAGAAATGGGCCGAGTGTCGATCCGTTTGTATCTTGGAGAGTGATAACATCTTCATTGAGCTCGGTACCAGTGCTGGTGCGAGAAAAAGGGTTATATGCAAGATGTGAGCAAAAGCAATCTTTATTAGGATGTAGTGGTGATGAGCCAGTGCAATTACCAGAACATGCACCAGCTTGAGAAAGTCTACAGAACATGGAATCACAAATGACTGGTGTCAATGTTGAACTAACATAGTTATCTTGACAGTCCACCCATAAGAAACGTCCGCCAAGATCAACAGTTAGTTTGACGGGTACAAGAGGAGTTCTTTGGCTAATAACAGTGATATACTGTTTAGTGGCTGCATCTTTGGTTACTGGAAGAAGAGCTCTACGTTTAACGGGTTGGGCTATGGAGGGACTGAAGAAAAAAAGCAAAGCTAAGAAGAGAGATAAAGGAATTGTTGAAGCCATTGTTAGGAGGAATATTGGGAAGTGGATAGCATAAACATGTTTATTTATAACAGTGCAAGGTTTGCTTAAGCTTTAAAATAATATTACAGGATTAGTATATTTCCCAAAGGTCACATGAACATGTCTCTTAGATTTACTTATAAATAATTGATTTCAAAATAGATATAAACTTCAACTTGATCAACAAGTTCGTATAAACAACAAAAGATACCAAACCGCTTGTGAATAGGATGGAGTGAGATCGATATTTCACCATAAAGTTTTACAACTAATCTTTTTATTAAACTAGAACAGCCATGCACCTGCTTTCTTTCAAAAAATATAGACCATATGTACAATATTTGTAACATGAGAATGGTTTAAAATAGGAAAAAGATACAAATTGGCAACGGGAGCAGAAGAGGTTTAAGTAGCGTCTAGAGCATTAAATGTTTCATTTATTTTAATTTATGTTAATTTAGACAGGGGCAGAGCTGGGTAGAAGGGGGTAGGAGAGGTTTAAGTAGCGTCTGATTAGTAGTTCTTTTTTGTCCCTTTGTTTGAATTTGCTAAGGTTGGAAAGTCTTCAACAATTAATACACGTGCCTAGTTTCTGCAAAAATTCCCCCCACTCAAGTCGTATATTTGAGGATAACACTAATTTACTTGCGAAAGGACATATGAAAGTGGGAAGCGCCTACCTGTCTCTATAGACGCTTTTTAGAGAAGTCCTACATTTACATATGGAAGTAGGTAGAAATATGCCGGGACTGTAGTTGGTGGTTAACGACAAAACTGCTTTTGAGTACCATACATCGATCTAGCATAGATTCCGATCCAGAGAATTAAAAACTGACAAAATTTAAAATTGTAAAAGGAGAACCCCTCCTCTTTACAATTGTTTAATTTCTAACTTAAATACGTGCAGAAAATGGAAAGTAGAGTAAGTTTTATGAGGGGACTCCTCCCATATACAAAAGAAAGTAGAGTCTTGTATAACAAGAATTTCTATGATGAAATTAAAGAACAATACAGAACACATATTGTTAATTAACAAGTACCATATTCTTTTAATTTGGGAAAGGGCACAAGAAAGCGTTCTTTTCATCATACCTCTCCCAGCATACAAATGGACAGTTGCTTTATTTACAAAGTTATTCTGTATATCCAAACTAGTTGTTCTAAGCTGGCTTTGCCTGTTAAAGTTGTGACTCTTGAAATCAAATTACTCATTGTTTACCCCAAAAACGGATAACAATTGAATTTGTATTATGATTTTAAGAATGCGTAATTTTGCTTAGCACAAACTGATCAAAAACACAAATTGATATTAAAAATGACTGTCAATAGAATTATAGCAAACCAAATAAATCAAGTAGCCTTGGCCCTCGAATTTGATCATATTTGAACCAAGTAGAGGTTCCGTCGATAAAGTAACAGAGTAACAAACCAAACAAGTATCTCCCTGGAAAATATGAACAAAGTAATAGAGTATTGATAGAAAAAGAGAGTATATTTCTTTATGTAATGTGAATGAGATCATCCTTTTACAAATGATGAGACCTCTTTATATAGTAGGGGAGTCCTATTCTTGGTACAATTCTAAATACAGTATGAAATCCCATAAATGGCTAATTAATCGGCCTCTTCTTGATACATGCCTAGATCTGCACCGTGATCCTCGCCCGATTGCGAATACTTCGTCTTTCCGTTACTCTACCCAATACGGCACCCTCGATCTCCATCTATTTGGTCCCGATCTTGGTCGGTCTCGATTTTGATCGATCTCAATCTTAAACGGTCTCAGGGTCTCGAGCTTGACAACCTAACTCTGCACCATAGTTTGATATAAATCAGAGTCGATCCTCGGCGAATCATGCTCCAGCCTCGATCAGTCGCACAAAAAGGGCAAGCTCGATTTTGACCGTATATATATAGTCCCCTCGATTTTAGAGAGTAATGACAAGAAACGATTTGAGCCCTCGATATTCATCATGACGTAAGCATCATGACGCAAGCAACAGAAGTGACCGAAATGTATCGTCGGAACAATTTCCCACACATTTAATGCGTGCCAGTCGACGGTCCGCCATTACCAGATTTGAACTGTCATTTTTAAACCTATAAATGTATCTTTCTTCTTTTGCCAAAACCTTACTTTCAAATCTTCTTTGCTTTCATCTTCAAAAATGTTTTGCCTTTCTTCATAACTTTGCAATTTCAGATTTTTGGTGTTTCTTCGCCTGCTTCATCACAAAATACTAAGTATTTCTCTCCAACTTCTACTATGTTTCATCCATAAAAATTAAATGGCTAAAACTTCAACAACCTTTCCACAAAAGGAAAATGCTTCTTCATCAAGGCCCACCGGCGATGGAGCTGCGGTGGAACCCCCTAGAGGACTTCGTTCCGACAAAGTGCCCTACTACTGCTGATTTTAAGGTAGAGAATACAGAATACACCTTCGGTACCGGGTCGATGTGAAGCAATGTTGAGGTACATATGCACAATTACAAATGATCTCCTCGACCAAGTTAAAAAGGACTACAACTAGGTCGACAAATACATGGTGGTGCCCTCGCTTGAGGAATCAATCACTACCCATGTAAAGGGATTTCTAAGTGTTTACACTTATCTTTTTACATTGGGTCCTTTAGACCCCATCATCGTTGCATTCTGTAAGAGGTACGATGTTACCCTCGGCCAGATCCATCCATTTTTCTGGAGGATACTAATCCTCCTCCGATTCTTTGTAAACAAGATCGACGGGCATCCTTTTACAAATGATCACCTTATGCGTCTCTATAGTCCCCGGTTTTATTAGGGAGGATTGATCAAGCTTTACCGCCGAGCCATCAAGCCCCCGTTCTTGAGTATAGACGAGACTTGAGACCAAGGCTGGATGGTCCGGTTTGTCCGAGTAAGGAATTCAGACCTAATTCTTGCTGAGGACATGCCGTTTCCTGAAAAATGGAACATGAACCGTAAGCATTACTTTGCCTTAACTGTCTAACTTTATCATTTTTACTTCTTAACTTCTTTCCTCATCTATGTTTTTTGTGTTGCAGTTGTGGCCCACGTTCTGAAATTGATCCCTGATCTTAGGTAATGGGTCGAGGGCATAATGTCGTGGAATTCATACTCCAAGCGTGCTTGGACGGAGTTATCAAAGGGTCAATGGGAGGCCCATAATCATGGTAATATTCTTTTCTCTATATGGTTTCTGTTCGAGCTTCGCACTGAGCTTACTCGTTTTTTATCCTTTTGTAGGCCTCGGGAAAGATATAGCAATAAGGCCCCCCTCTACTGAAGAAAAGGCATTTTCCCCTCCACCTACTCCGAAATAAGCCAAAGAGAAGAAAAGAAAAGGGGCTCCGAGCTCTCCAGACTTGAGGGGCATAAACCCCCAAAGAGAACAACCCGTAAACCTAAAGGGAACTTCATCCATCTAACTTTGCAGTAAGTTCAACGACTAAGGGATGAGAACGAAGAAGAAGAAGAAAACTCCAGGCTGGTGGTCCGTGTGCGAGCTAGCACTAAGATTCAAGGAACTACTGGGCCGGCGGGAGTTGAAACTGCTTTGCCTCGATTTGATGAAGTCCCCGATCTGGAAAGAGCTGAAGATGCTTCACCTCAAAGTGAGAGGGCTACCGAGGAGACGGTTGATGCTGGTGTAGAAACCATGTTCGAAGCCTCCCGAGAAAAGTACGATGCCCCAAAAGATTTACTTAGGGAAATAGAGATTGGAGATTCCCCCTTGTTGCCTTCATTCTCTGATTCGATGATCAAGGATGCACAGGCAACGGAGACTTGCCACAGTGAAGGGGCCCATGGAGCAGAAGACCCTTTTTGTGGTTGATTTTTTGGAGTGCAAGATGTCATCGGTGTGGGTGACTTGGAAGTGCCGAGGAAGGGCTCGAATGAAACTTCCTCGAGCTTTAAAGTGACTGATTGATTCCCGGCCCCCAATGTCGAGCTCGGGCGTAAGCGATCAATTATCATCTTGGTTCCGGAGGATGCTCAAGTTCTTTCTGCCCCTGTAGGGGTGGCTAGCTATCTCAGATGTTTGGTCACCGAAGAAGACCAAGCCAAGATGGATGGGGTGGAAGTTTCTTGTTTGTTCAACGAGGCCTGGCACGCTCTGAATTGGGTAAATTTGAGGGCCATTCCATTATCTTTTTAAAACTTTGAATTGTCGATAGTTCTAACATTTTCTTCCTTACTTGTAGGCTTTGGTGTTGCATCACGAGGCCTTTCCTTCGAATCCGAGTGGAGTGCAAGGCTGAGGTTCGGAGCCTCACTAAGAAACGTGATACCTACAAGCTTCTCAGTGAGAGGCTTCAGGCAAATTTGGTGACGGCTCGAGATGAGCATGCTGAGATGGCCGAGCAAGTATTCCGAGTGCTTCATGATAGTGAATATGAGTTGGAGATAACAACTAATGATTTGATTCTGCAGGTTTGATAGAGGATCGAACAGATCAAGGACCTTCAAAGACAAATAGATGAAATTCAAGCTGAAGCTAAGGAGTTCAAGGGGTACATAGACATCTTAGCTTCCAAAAAGGAGGCCATCCAAGCATACCTGGAATCAGCCAAGTCTCAGCTTCAAGATGCAAGGGAGAAGGCCTCGGTATAAGAAAAGACAATTGAGGAGCTTTAGTATAACTTAGACAACTTGGACAAAGAGCTCGAAGTGGCCAAATCTGAGGCGGTAGTGGCCAACACCAAGGCCTGAGCTAATGCTACCCAATTAAGGTCGATGTCCAAGCTACCCTTACACAAGCAGGAGCATAGTGGATCACGCGGAGTGGAAAGCTCGACGGGAGGCCCTCGAGGGGGGCTGTGATCAAAGCTTCGATATGTTTGCTGAAATCGAGATTGCCAAGGCAAAGGAAACAAAGGCTCAGAAGCTGGCTTTTCCCGAGGAAAACTCCGAGAATTTGAGTGAATCTGGTAGTGGAGAAGATTCCGAGGGTGAAGAAGCTTCCTCCGATAAGGACCATGTTGTTTAGGCTTTATAGATTTTTTTTGCTTTTATGTTGAGGTCGA